TTGTCTTTGTCAACCACCATCTCATTTTAGGGTAGTTTTGGCTTTGCCGACATCCGCTTTTGGGTTTGCCTGCCAACATCTCCTTTGCAGGTTTGCGGCTTGCTCACCAACATTTCCTTTTCGGGTTTGGGTTTGCCACCAGCGTTTCTCCTTTTGGGGTTGGGGGGTTTGCCAACGACCTTCTGTTTTTAGGGCTTGGGGTTAGGCAATCTCGGTTTAAGGCAGCAGCATCTCCCTTTAGGGTTTTGGCTTTGCCAACACCTCCTTTTTGGGTTTAGGTTTGCCAACAGCTTCTCCTGTTGGGGTTGGGGGTTTCCCAACGACCATCTGTTTTTAGGGCTTGGGGATTGGCATCCGCGGTTTAAGGCTTGGGGATCAGCAACATTCCCCTTCAGGGTGTTGGTTTTGGTTGTGCCAACATCCCCTTTAGGACTTTAGGCCTGTGGGTTTGCCAACGTGTTTTTGGTTTTGCCTGCCAAAATCTCCTTTGCAGGTTTGCGGCTTGCTCACCAACATTTTCTTTTCGGGTTTGGGTTTGCCAACAGCATTTCTCTTTTTGGGTTGGGGGTTTGCCAACGACCATTCTTTTTTTGGGCTTGGGGATTGGCAACCGCGGTTTAAGACTTGGGGATTGCTCAGCGACATTTCCTTTTAGGGTGTTGGCTTTGTCAACCACCATCTCATTCTAGGGTAGTTTGGTTTTGCCAACATCCCCTTTAGGTCTTTAGGCCTCTGGGTTTGCCAACGTGTTTTTGGGTTTGCCTGCCAAAATCTCCTTTGCAGGTTTGCGGCTTGCTCACCGACATTTCCTTTTCGGGTTTGGGTTTGCCACCAGCGTTTCTCTTTTGGGGTTTGGGGTTTGCCAACGGCCATCAGGGCTTGGGGTTTAACAACCTCGGTTTAAGGCAGTAACATCTCCCTTTAGGGTTTTGGCTTTGCCAACATCTCCTTTTCGGGTTTGGGTTTGCCAACAGCGTTTCTGCTTTTGGGGTTGGGGGTTTGCCAACGACCATTTGTTTTCAGGGCTTGGGGATTGGTAACCGCGGTTTACTCGTCAGGCTTGGGGATTGCTCAGCAATATTTCCTTTTAGGGTTTTGGCTTTGTCAACAACCATCTCATTTTAGGGTAGTTTCGGCTTTGCCAAGGTCCCCTTTTGGACTTTAGGCCTTTGGGTTTGCCAACGTGTTTTTGGGTTTGCCCACCAACATCTCCTTTGCAGGTTTTCGGCTTGCTCACCAACATTTACTTTTTCGGGTTTGGTTTTACCAACAGCGTTTCTCCTTTTGGGGTTGAGGGTTTGCCAACGACCATCTGTTTTTAGGGCTTGGGGTTAGGCAACTTCGGTTTAAGGCAGCAGCATCTCCCTTTAGGGTTTTGGCTTTGCCAGCATCTCCTTTTCGGGTTTGGGTTTGCCAACAGCGTTTCTCCTTTTGGGGTTGGGGGTTTGCCAACGACCATTTGTTTTCAGGGCTTGGGGATTGGTCACCGCGGTTTACTCGTCAGGCTTGGGGGTTGCTCAGCAACATTTCCTTTCAGGGTTTTGTCTTTGTCAACCACCATCTCATTCTAGGGTAGTTTGGTTTTGCCAACATCCCCTTTAGGTCTTTAGGCCTCTGGGTTTGCCAACGTGTTTTTGGGTTTGCCTGCCAAAATCTCCTTTGCAGGTTTGCGGCTTGCTCACCGACATTTCCTTTTTGGGTTTGGTTTTACCAACAGCGTTTCTCCTTTTGGGGTTTGGGGTTTGCCAACCACCATCAGGGCTTGGGGTTTAACAACCTCGGTTTAAGGCAGCAACATCTCCCTTTAAGGTTTTGGCTTTGCCAACATCTCCTTTTCGGGTTTGGGTTTGCCAACAGCGTTTCTGCTTTTGGGGTTGGGGGTTTGCCAAGGACCACTTGTTTTTAGGGCTTGGGGATTGGCTACCGCGGTCAAAGGGGTTTTGGATTTGTTAGCGACCATGTCATTTTAGGGTAGTTTTGGCCTTGCCAACATCCCCTTTAGGACTTTAGGCCTTTAGGTTTGCCATCGTGTTTTTGGGTTTGCCCACCAACAGCTCCTTTGCAGGTTTGCGGCTTGCTCACCAGCATCTCCTTTTCGGGTTTGGTGGATTCGCTTTTCGAGCACCAGCACCGTTTTAAAACAGTTGGACCCATCTCTGTCGGGAATGCCAAGCTGGGTTTTTGCGCCATGACCGGGGCCAGGACCAGGGCCAGAGTTGCATTTTCGGGACAGGGGGTCCATCAGGAAAATGCGACAGACTTGCAAAGCAGCGGAACATGCGAACAAAACACGAACAAAGCGAGAAAACGCGAACATGTGCAAAGTTGCGAAGTGAAAATGCGTATGAAATGGCCGGAAATCCACCTTGTCAAGAGGTACGGAAATCGCAGCCGCCATCTCCTTGATGTTTTTGGGATGGATTTTTTTCGCAAATTTTTCGCATGTTTTTGTATCCTTGGATTTGGGACTTTGAAGGGAATGGGGTTTGCCGACATCTCCTTTGAAGGTTTTGGGTTTGCCGCTCCTCGTTTAGGGTGTGGGATTTGTTCGCCAACAATTCCGTTCAGGGTTTGGGCTTTGCCAACCAGCATCTCTTCTTTAGGGTTTGGGGTTTGCCAATCTCGGTTTAAGGTTTGGGGTCTGCTCACCGATATCTCTTCGTTTTAGGGTTTGGGGTTCGTTTACGAACATCTCATAGGGCAGTCATGGGGTTTTGGAGTTTTGCCAACAGCTTGCTCACCAACATGTATTTTTAAGGTTTGTGATTTGCTTACCAGCATTTATTTTTACAGTGTTTTGGTTTGCCAACATCTCCTTTCAGGGTTGTGGCTTTGCAACTCTTTCCTTTTCGGGTTTGGGCATTGCTTACCAGCATCCCCTTTCAATTTGGGGTTTGCCAACATCTCTTCTTCACCAATGCGTCTGCTCATCAACATCTCTTCGTTTTAGGGCTTGGGGTTTGCTTACAAACATCTTCTCCTAGGGTCTGGGGTTTGCAATCTCCTTTTAGGTTCTCGGGTTTGCCAACATTCCTGTTAAGGTTTGGGTTTGGGTTTTCTCACCAACATCTCCTTTCAAGGGTTGGGTTTGCTCACAAACATCTCCTTTACGGGTTTTGGCTTTGCCAACATCTGTTTTTGGCTTTGGGTAAGACAGCAGCGTTATTTGGATTGCATACCAACAATCGAAGTTTGCTTGCCAGCATCTCTTTTCGGGGTTTTGGGCACGTTTTGGGGTTGCCAACATGTTGCCAACACATCTGCTTTTGAGGTCTGGGGTATGCCCGCCAACATCTCCATTGACAGTTTGGGGTTTGCTAACCACCATCTGCTTGATTTTAGGGTTTGTATTTTGTCAGCTGCTTTCTTCTCAAGATTTCATGTGTTTGTTTTTCTTTTTGCCACCGCGCGGGGTGGGGAGGGGGGAGGATGGGGGAAGAGGGAGGGGGGGGGGATGATAACGTCCATTGCAAGTCGGCTTAGGTCTACAGCGGGGTGGGAGTGGGGAAGCGGGGATGATAACGTCCATGGCGATGCGGATTGTGTCTGTGGTGCTTCTCTTTTTGCTTCCGTGCTGGGGTTGGGAGGGTGGATGGGGTGGGGCGGGGGATAATGTGCATGCCGAGGATGAAGATGAAGATGATGATGATGATGATGATGATGATGATGATGCTGATGCTCATGCTGATATCGGTCATGAAAGCGTTGATGCTCATGATTTGGGTGATCAGGATGATTATGATCTGTATGATGATTATAATGAACATGATTACAGTAAGATGTTGATGTTGATGGTGATGATGATGATGATGAAGGGAGTATGATGTTGATGTTACTGATGATGATGGTCAAGAACAGTGGCGATTATGAACAACAGTGACAATGACAGTGTCTGCTGCTGTTTTCATGTCATTTGCGAGACGGTCCCAATACGAGAGTCTCGCGGACTCTCGTGGGCTCTCCAAACAGAAAGTTTAAAAACGGATCCACAACTGAAGCAAGAGAAACGCCGAAAACCACGGTATCTAAAACGGTTGCACAAACACACACCAACACAAAAAGAACAAACAACATGGAACACAATTTGAGGAACACGTCGTCCAATTCACGAATCCCACCAAAATACTTTAAGGTTATAGCAGTTTTAAGAAAAAGTCGTAGCCTACCCTTTGCCGGGGCAAGCGTGACGGCAGCCTTGTTGTTGTTTTTCTTGATGTTCTGGACTCCTGATCGTAGTTGCCAACGGTTACAGCGGGGAGCTGTCATGGGTGTGTCAGGTGGGTGACACTACTACTACTACTACTACTACTACTACTACTTCTACTACTACTACTACTACTACTGCTACTACTACCGGGCATGGGAAGCCTCAATTTACCCTATACCTCGTCAGTAGTCAAGACCCTG